TGGCACAATGTTGCTGTTACTGTGTGCAACGTTCCCCTGATTCTGCTCACTTCACTCAGCCTCAGTTCATAAAAGTCTTTCCAGGTTTTTCTGAAATCCACCTGCTCATCATCTCATCATTTTTTACAGCACAATAGTATTCCATTACATTCATATACCACAACGTGTTCAGCCATTCCCCAATTGATGAGCATCCCCTCAATTTCCAATTGTTTGCCACCACCAAAAGAGCTGCCGTAAATATTTTTGTACGTGTGGGTCCTTTTCCCTTTTTTATGATTTCTTTGGGATACAGACTTAGTAATGGCATTGCTGGGTCAAAGGGCATGCACAGCTTTACAACCCTTTGGGCATAGTCTCAAATTGCTCTCCAGAATGGCTAGATTACAGTTCTACCAACAATGCATTAGTGTTCCAATTTTCCCAAATTTTCTCCAACATTTATTATTTTCCTTTTCTGTCATATTAGTCAATCTGAAAGGTGTGAGGTGGTACCTCAGAGTTGTTGTAATTTGCATTTCTCTAATCAATAGTGATTTAGAGCACTTTTTCATACGGCTATAGATAGTCTTAATTTCTTCATCTGAAAACTGCCTGCTCATATCCTTTGGCTCATCATTTCTTACAGCACAATAGTAAAAAATGACTTTAAGGTCAGGAGTCGTTCTATTTTTATCTTGATCTCTCTAGCACCTGGCACAGTAGAGGGCACCTAACAGACACTTCAGAAATGTTTGTTGTATTGAACTCAGCGAAGGGGTGCAGCCCAAGGGAAGTATGTGAGAGTCCCTGGGGCATTTTCCTCTACCTTCTTTATATCAAACTATATGAGATGCCCATCAACTGGGGAATGGCTGAACAAGCTGTGGTATAAGAATGTAATGGAATACTGTTGTGCTATAAGAAATGATGAGCAAGCGGACTTCAGAAAAACCTAGAAAGACTTATATGGTCTGATGCTGAGTGAAATGAGCAGAACCAGGAAAACATCGTACACAGTAACAGCCACGTTGTGCAATGACTAATATTGATAGACTCATCTCCTCTCAGCAATGCAAGGATCTAAGACCTCTCCAAAGGCCTCATGATGGAAAATGCTATCCACATCCAGAGAAAAAACTATGGAGTCTGAATGCAGATCGAAGCATATTATTTGCTTTTTTTTTTTTGGTGAGGCAATTGGGGTTAAGTCACTTGCTCATTCTTTTTTTTCTTGTTTTGCTTCCTCTTTCATGTGGTTCCTCCTATTGGTTCTAATTCTTCCTTACAACATCATTAATGTGAAAATATGTTTAATAGGAATGTATATGTATAGCCTATATCAGATTGTGCACTATCTTGGGGAGGGAGGTGAGGAGGGATGGGAAGAAAAATTTTAAACTCAAAAGCTTATGGAAGTGATTGTTGATAAATCAAAATAAATTAATAAAAAAGAATCATTAAAAAATAAATAAGAAGTAAGTTTTTAAAAAATGACAAGTAGGATGATTTCAGAAAAAAAAAACTGGGAAGACTTCTATGAACTGATGCAAAGTAAAGTGAGCAGAACCAGGAGAACGTTGTACATAGTAACAGCAATACTGTATAATGAAGAATTGTGAATGACTTAGCCATTCTCTGCAATACAATAATCTAAGACAATTCCAAAGGACGCATGATGAAAAATGCTATCCGTCTCCAGAGAAAGAATTGATGAACTCTGAATGCAGAATGAAACATACTGTTTTAAACTTTATTTTTTTGTGTGTGTTTTCTTTTGCAACGTGGCTAATATGGAAATATGTTTTGCATGATCTCACACGTGCAATCGACATCAAATTCCTTGCCTTCTCAAGGTGAAAAGAGCATCAGGAAGGACAGAGAGAATTTGGAACTCAACATTTTTAAAAATGAATGTTAAAGATTTTACATGTAATTGATATTTAACAAAAAACATATTGAAAAAAATTAAACTATATGAAACAAAAATATATTGCTAGTTATTTAAGATACTATCTTATCATTTGCTTAAAAATGAAACTGCTTGAAGTCCACCAAAAAAATTAATTTTACAGAATAAAAATAAAAAACAAGAGGCTTCCTAGGAATCTAAAGACATGGGTTTAAACCTAGTTCTATTATTAATTATATGGCTTTTGATAAGTCACTTAACATCTGCTGGCCTCAGTTTCCTTATATAAAATGAGAGGGCTGGCCTACAGTCCTATGACGATTTATATGAATTTGTAGCATTGAAAATAAAGCAATCACTGCCCTTCCCAATGAATGAAACCAAGATATTGATGGAAATGAAAAATCCAATTTTGATCCCACGTGCTCACAAAGTCTTATGATCCCAAAGTCTCAGGAAGAGAATTGTTTTCAAATGACCTGCACCAGCTAGTGTATTAACTTTGCTTACACGGCCCCTTGGACTAGGAAATTCAGCTTCTCCTTCGGAAAACACTACATTCTATTTCCTTACTGCCCCAGAACACCTCAGACCAAACAGAAGTACAGCACTTTCAATGAGCTACCTTGAAAATTCCACAAAGGCTACAATTTGCCCTTGAGACTTCCCGACTAAAGAAAAATGAAAGCAAATAGAGAATTTTAGAAAAGTCATGAATCCGGGAAGGATTTCCCAATCCACTCTAGGTGTCTTCACTCGGGTCATGGCAGACCAAGCCAGACCTGAACTACTCCCTGGCTACCTCATCTGGAGCTCAGGTGTCGGAAATGAAGATAAAGGCTTCCCAAGTGCCTTAAGCACCTTAACAACTTAAAATCTTACAGCCAGGGTGAGCACCAACGTGCAGGTAATTCTGTCTTCACTCTAAATAAATCATGAGGTCAGCAGCCAGACAGGAGCAGCATTACTTAAACCAGTAACATGATTCCCATCAAAACTAACTCAGAACAATTACCTTTATCTTGATTAATCCCAGGATTGAAATAATGAATCATTAATCTCACTTCTTGTAATCATTATCTTTTATCAGAGGCTAAACACGCAGTTATAATGTTACACCTCTTAGTGCTGATATCAGGCACTTCAGAGTTATGGTCTAAGTCACATTATCTCTTTTATTGCCATTTTCCAGGTGCCTACCAAAACTTTTTTTAAAAGCTCACTACTTTAAAACTGTGGTGTCAGTTGTGTATAATATATGTATAATATATTACATAATACATGTATATTAGCTGTGTTTCCATGTACAAAGATGAAAGATAAATAGGGGTGTGTGTGTGTGGGGGTGTGAACTAACATTTATTAAGCACCGACTGTGCTAAGTACTAGGGTTACAAAAAGAGGCAAAAGACAGTCTTATCCTTAAGAGTTTACAATCCAACAGGGGAAATGATAGGCAAACAAAGCCAGGTCTACATAAGATAAATTGGAGATAATTAACAGAGGGAAGGCCCTGGAATTAAGGTGGGTTGGGGAAGGTGGGCTTTTAGTTGTCACTTAAAGGAAGCCAGGGAGGTCAGTGGTCAGAAAGGAGGGACAAGCCTTCCAGGCCTGGGGGAGGCTGGAGAGAATGTCTGGCGCCATGAGATGAGGGTCTCGTTCGTGGACCAGTCAGCCAATGTTACTGGATCAAGGAGTATGAGTTGAGGAGTAAGGTCTAAGAAGTCTGGAAAGGGAGGAGGAAACAGATGATGAAGGGCTTTGATCCTGGAGGGGGTGTGGGGGTGGGGAGGGGGAATATGTGTGCGTCTCTACGTGAACTCTGTAAGGAGAAATAGCTACAACTGACTGGAAAGCTATTGAATGCTTTTTTATTTCTTCTCACTGAACCTCTGAATACTATGTTGAATGCACTTGATTTAGACTGGATTCATCACATGGCAAAAAGTCATTTCCAAGACTCTCAAAATGGGGGCGGAGCAGGGCAGGGGGCCCCAAAGTGACTTGACCAGTAGTGACAACCCTCACAACTTTATCACTGTCCTGTATTAAGCAAAGTTTAATCCTAGCACTTTTTTTATTAAGCCATATCTTTGAAGGAAAATGAATTAGGGGAAAATCAACAGCTGAAAATTTCCACAGAATTCTCTATTACCAAACAAGGCAAAAGCTGGAAACCACGTTGTTCCTCAGCACAGCAGAGCCTGCAGCCTGGGAGGAGGACGGAGTGTGTGAAGACCAAGGAGGCCTCTCCCCACACAGCTGCTTCCTCCCCTCTGAGCCCTGAACTCAAACAGCACAGCTTCCTCCCCCCAGATCACCTGCTTCACAACCAGCTGCCTTTCACTTCCATCAGGTCCCCTAACCCTTACATGTTCCTTCTTGAGCCAGTGTTTTAACATTCTCTTCTTTCCACTTTGTCCATTTCCTATTAATTTTTTAACTATAGTCAACCCTTCTGCTTGCTAAACAGCGGTCTGTAATCCACTCCCAGCCCCATGGAGCTGCTGCTCCCCCAAGGCTAGCCAGGTGGGCAGCACTGAGGAGGGGGAAGAAAAAGACTGCATTTACGTTGCACTGGGGAACAATCTGCGAAGTACTTCGGTGATAAGGACTGGATCCTCACAGCCACCAGCGAGGTATTACCATTATCAATGGCTATCAGCATTCCCCTCTTCCAGATGAAGACGCTAGGGCTGAGAAGACCTAAGTAACCTGCCTGGAGTCACACAGCTAACGAGTGTGGGCAGCAGGATTTGATCTCAGGTCTTCCCAGCTCCAGGCAGTGTTCCATCCACTATGCCTAGTTTGCCTAGGACAAGGTAGACACGCTTACATTAGTCTAAGCAAGACAGTCATGATGGTCAATTTGCGGCCAGAAGCAATATGTAATCAATTACAAAATTAACTACAAGTCCCTTCTGATTACCTACAACATTATTCCCCAAAGTACTTTCAAAATGCAGGTGGCCCAAGTCAGGGGATACAGAAGAGAAAGGTTAATATGGGAAATGGAACAGCTTGCACAAGATGCTAGAGAACTGCGGCCCCCCCACCCCTAAAAGGCAACTAATTTTCGAAAGAAAGAAGTAGGAACAATCGGCCGTACCTTCACAAATGCCACTTGGGGGTATTCCTTGGCTAATTCCTCCATGACACCATTCATCTGTGTACACTGAGGAGCCCATGGTGCCCAGAAATGGATGACAATGAGGGACCTGTAAACCAAATATCTAGGTTTAAAATATGTATTAAAGTCTTTTTAAAGATACACGTTTCCAAATGCAGACACTGTCACTCGGCCAGCATTTAAGTCCTCCCTGGTAGGAAGCTGCGTGAAGCCCTGGGAGTACAAAGAAAGACAAAAGCCAGTTCCAGGCCTCAAGGACCCCGACCCCCCCCCCCCCCCCCAGAGGGAGAAGACAACAGGCAGACAACTTTGTATCAAAATGCTGCTATTACACGACAAGAGCACAAGAAAATCTTCGAGAAGGCCCTGGTGCATGAAGGCATTTCACGAAAGGCTTCCTGTGGAAGGTGAGATTTCGGCACGTATTTGAAGGAAGCCAGGGAGGTCAGGAGATGAAGAGGATTCCAGGAATTGGGGACAGTCAGGAAAAATGCAGAGCAGAGGATCACGGGTCTGGTTCCAGGAGGCCAATGTTACTGGCAGAAAGACCACGAGGGGGAAAGGAAGGAAGCAGAGTCGGGGGTGAAGGGCTCTGAATGCCAATGGAGGATTTTTCTATTTAATGCTTCGGGCAGCTAGCCGATGGGGAGACATCAGTTAACTGAGTAGAGGAGCAGCAGTCAAAGCTGAGTCTGAAGAAGAATCTGCAGCCGAGCAGCAGGGAGTACAGACTGGCCTGGGGGACGGCCTTGAGGCAAGGAGACCAACCCAAAGCCATGTCTTCCTTCCTCATCTGGTCTGCCCGAGTCCAGGCACACTAGGCTGAGGAAGGATTATCCCCCCATTCTGTCCTTTCCCCAAGGTCCCTGTCCCCATCTGGGGCCTACGCCGGCCTCTCCCCTGGAATGTAGCTGCACCTGCAGGCAGAGCCCCACAAGGCTGACAACAGTTTTTAGAAAAGAAGCTGCGGGAGAAGGGCAAAAGATGGTTTTTAAATCCCCGCAATGGTAAGAGAAGCAGCTAACAGAAGAAAAATACAAGGAAGGGGTGGTGAGCCAGCCATGGGAGGGGAATGGCCTGGAGCTCTCCATTCATTACTCCATCCCTGCATCTAATTACTAAGGCCCCCAGCCCCGCCAACCATCCCCTGCCGGAGACCAGGGAGAGACCAACGGGCACCTGAAGTTGAGAGTCCCCAGTGACATTTTCTGGAATGGAAAAGGGTACCCCGCTGCCATGCTGGGAGAAGACTGAGGAGGGTGTTCTTGGGGAAACATTGTGACATCCCCCCCCCACTGTAACGTATTTTCCAAGAGAACAAGCCCAGATTGCCAAATCTACTCTCCCCCACCACCACACCCAGCTTAAAGACAAACTTTTAGAACACACCCAGGCCTCCATCAAGCCCCACTGAAGCAGGCACACAAAAAGGGCTTGGAGGATCCTACCCCCCCCAGCCCAATCCTGAATGGGGGGGAGGAGTTGAGGTTCTGTCACCTCCTCACTGGCCTCCAAGGTTACTGGACTTCATTAGCCTGCCCGGCCTCAGTTTCCTCATCTTAAAAAGCAGGGGTTGGCCAAGACGGCTTCTAAAGCCCTGCCACGTCTCAAATGGGAGAGATGAGCAATTCAACTGGTTCTGTTTAAAGCGATTGGGAAGGAGGGGATATAACTTAGAACGGTTTCCACTAAAATCTCAGGTAAAGATCTGGCATCTGAAGAGGAAGCTGCAGGTATCTGGAAAACTCACTTGGGTGGAGCCCTGGGACCCCCAAAGGAGCTGACAAGAGGGCTGGTGGAGACATCCAAGCGGCTCTGGACGCCCCAAGGCGGGTCCCCGGGCTCCAAAACCCCCCGAACAAGGTTTGTTTCACGTGTAACTGAGCAGGGGAGAAGAGACTTTTCTCCGACAGCACGTTTGCCTTCCCCACCTGCCAAGCATCATCTCCCATGGGCTCGAGTTAATTGATCCCCGTGGTTCCACGGATGAGGCCGCGGGCACCCCCCGTTTGGGGGCTTCCACTCCGGTCCTGTGCATCCTCACCAGGCCACAAGCTTGCTCCGGGACGGGTCCACACGAGCCCCACCGAGCGCCGGCCGCGCTGCTCCTGACCGTGCGGGGCCGTGCGGGGCCCCACGGGGCGGGGGCCGTCTCCCCTAAGCCCGTGCCTCGACACTGCTCGCCCTTCTCCAACTCGCCCCCGCTGGAGCCCCTTTCCCCCGGGCTTTACAGACCTCACTGGGTCCTCCCGACGACCCTGAGACGGGGTGCGCTCATGAGCCCCATTTTACCGATGGGGAAACTGAGGCACACTGGGGGAAGTGATCCGTGGGTGGCAGGACGCGTCTCGGGACGGTGTGGACCGCGGGCCCGGCACTCGGCAGGTGTGAGCACGAAGGGTCAGGCTTGGGGGGGCGCACACCCCCCCCGCCCCTCCCCCCCCGGCACAGGGCCGGCGGCCCCCTCCCCATTCCAACCGAGCCCAGCAGCACCGGACGCGGCTTTGGGGGCGTCATCCGTACGGCGGGGGGGGGGGCAGCGCCCCCAGGGTCCCGCAGTGGGGACCCCCCCCCAAGCCCAGGTTACACCGACCCCGGCCAACCGGAACCAGGGCCCCCTCGTTTAACCGCTTCGCCCCAACAGCTCGGCCAGGAAAGGGACCCCAGGGGGAACCCCGAAACCCGCTTCGGGCTGGGTGTGGCAGGGGGTGGGGGGACGGGCTCTCCCTCGGAGGTAGCGAGCTGCCCACTCCCGGCGGGCTTCGACCACAGCCTAGATGGCCGCACGCCGCTGGGCCTCAGTTTACCTGCCTCAGGGGTTCGAGGGCCCCGGAGCACCGCCCCCCCCAGCAGCCACGTCCCCGAGGCCTCAGTTTCCCTCTCTGTGGAATGGGGCCCCGGCCGGCCGCCCGTACCTGGCCTGGAGGTGCAGCAGCTCCTCGAACCGCGCGCGGGACGCCACCTCCAGCAGAGGCCTGGGCCTGGGCTTGGGCTTGACCTCGGGTTCCGGCCCGGGCCCTGCCCCGGCCCCCGCCGCCACCTCGGCCCCAGCCGCCGCCGCCGCCGCCTCGGACGCCATGCTTCCCACCGCCCGCGCGCCCCGCTGCCCCCGCCGTCAGGCAGGAGTAAAAGAGCGCCGTGCACGGCTCCGCCTCCGGCCAGGCAGCAATGCCGAGCGCCGAGCGCCGAGCTACGACTGCGCAAGCCCGAGGGCCAGGCGAGAGAGCGGATGAAGCCGAGAGAGAGTCCGAGAGACCACGCCTCCGACCCCGGCCGACGCTGGGATTGGATAGCCGAAAGGCAAAGGCAGATGAGGCTCCGCCTCTTCCGCCTCCAAGACCCGCCCAGTCCCTCTAGCTCCAGGAAAGGCCGTGATTGGTTCCCCGGAAAAGGAGCGAGAGGAAGGAAGAAAAGGCTGATCGAGAGGTCAAGAGAGGCCACGCCCTCTTTCCCTCCGCCCCTCCCTCAGCCTCCAAAAGAGGCTATGATTGGGTCACCCGAAGGCGGAGGGGGAGGAGTTTGCCTCGTCCGACTCTGACGACGAGATGGAAGGGGGGAGTGGAAAGGGAAAGTCAAAAGAGGGCCAGCCCCCACCTCTTCCACCCTGACCTTCCCCGCCGGCCTCTCGTCCTGCAGGCGCAGGCGCAGGCGCAGGCGCAGGCGCAGAGGGGCCTTTCTAGGGCGCAGCTCCTGCTCTGTGTAGGCCCGGAGGCTTCTGGGCCCGGGCTTGGAAGCGGGGAAAGCGCATTCCTAACGAAGACTCGTGCGGGGCCGGGTAGTAGGCCGGCGGGGCCTCGTGAGGTGCCCGCCCACTTTACAGGCGCACCAGCCGAGGCTGGGACGCGGAAGTGACTTCATAGACCCCCGGGGCTGGACCGGACCCGTGACGTCATCTAGCCTACCCCCCCCTTTTTTACATTTGAGGAAACTGAGGCCAGATGTGACCACTGCCACCCCTCTGGAGCCCAGCAGCACGTGCCCCCCCTTCCCCCACAAGAGGTCACGAGTCGCTGCGCCGTGCCCTTTGACCTTGGCGTCATTCTCCTCCTCCTGGACCCTTCAAGGGCATCAGCGACCGGTGAAAGAGTCAAAGGTCAGCCCCTTGGGATCAGTGGGGGCCCCGAGTGGCCCCGAGCAGAGGATCCCCGTAATGCTGGCCCTCCCAGCCCTCTGGGATACTTTGTAGCCACTGCTCCTCTAAGGCTGCCGAGATACTTTGTAGCCATTGCTCCGGGAAGGCCCGTGGAGGCGGGAGACAGGCCTGGATCCGGAGAGGCCGGGGTGCCGAGGGTGCTTCTCACTACGTGATCTATGGTGCTCGCTCGGACGGGCGCTCCGGCCTCCCGGAGCAGCCTGCCTTCGTTCTGCCTCTAACATCTCACACTGAGGAATGAGTGAGAAAGGCGTGATTTGGGGTGGGGAAGAGGCCATTGCGGCCAGTAGTGAGCACATGGCAAAGGGAAAGCACAAAGAAAGGGCACCTGACCGAGCATGTAGGTGGCAAAAAAGAAAAGATGAAAGTCTCCCACTTCGCACAGGGCTAGTCAAAAGGGCTCACGCACAGTCCCAGAGAGTCAAGAAAATTCTGCCACTTGCACCTGACTGGCCCTCCAGTCGTATGCAAAGGCGTGAGGTCAGGCCGGGCAAGGCCTCCACCCCCTGGCACCAGGTGTTGCTTGCGGCCCCTTCCTCTAGTCCTCAGGTCCATGACCCTCGCCCCATCTGTCCCTGGGTGCTTTTCTCCTGTATTTTGTATCAATAAAGCTTCCTTTAGCATAGGTGTCCTCCGAGACCTCTTCTACCCAGTGAATCACTGGAGGCAGCCTGGCGCGAGGGCTATTGGGTTTGGAACCAGAGAATTGGGTTCATATTCGAGTTCTGCCAATTATCACCTCTGTGACATTGGGCAAGGTCCATTACCCCCCCTGGGCGTCAGTTTCCTCATCTCTAAAATAAGGGAGTTGGACCCAGTGACCTCTGAGGTCCCATCTCCTTAACATGGTTTGATGAGTCTTTCGTCTTCCAGTCCACCCTACCATGTGCCGTGGGTACCAGCGGAAGTCAGGGCAGAAGTTTTTCCAGTGTCACCTCTAGATGATAAGCATTTTCAGTCAGTTTCCATGTTTCAATGGATCAGTGACGGCAATGATGTGGGCATTCCCTCTGACAGTGAAGCTCACCACCCACCCAAGCCTTCTCATGTTGCATAAACCTTGTTTCATTGTTTCTCAGTTGTTTTTCAGTCACGTCTGACTCTTCAGGACCCCATTTGGGGTCTTCTTGGCAAAAGGAGTGGTTTGCCTTTTCCAGCTCATTTTACGGATGAAGAAACTGAGGCAAACAAGGTTAAGTGACTTGCCTAGCGTCACACAGCTAGTAAGTATCTGAGGCCACATTTGAACTCAGGCCCTCCTTATTCCAGGCTGGGTGCTCTAACTACTGTGCCACCTAGCTACCCATGAGCCTTCTCTGTACCCTCCAATAATTCCTTCCATCATTTCCCTCAACATTGTGGGGATGGCAGTGGTGCCCAAAACTGTCTATCCACCATCCCTCACCATTATGGTCCTTTTTTCTGGTCCTACTGCTCTTGGATGATGCCCTCTTTGCTACTTCTTCGTGGTTCTTTGGTAATGGATCACAGCCAACTCTTGCCTACAACACTTTCTCCCTCTTTGGGTGGCCCGTAATTCTTCAGAGTTTGTGGCATGTGACAACTGGGAACCCCACAGCAGCTAATTAAATTGTGTAGGAAGGTATGGAAAGGGCTATGGCCATCCCAGGTAGTTAAAATGCCCTAAAAATTTTTTTGATTACTTCATGAACATAAAAGTGAGGGAAATTGAGGAGAAAAAAAATTTAAAGAAGTACCTTCTCCCTCCAAAACAGGCAAGCAACAACAGAATAGTCATGATCTGGAGCTCAAATCAGTGTGTTAATATTTCCTAGGTTTAACACAACCTGGTGTGTCCCTCCTGTTCTTTCTCCTGTGTCCCACACTTAACCTATTTTCTGTGACTTAGGAGAGCAGTTAAAAATGAATATGTGAGAGGACCCTAAGGATGAGAAAAGGCCAGAATCAGGGACTGAGGTACATAGATGAAAATCAGGACTAGGAACTGATAGTTATGCAGGTAAAACAAGAGAGAGCAGGTATGTAGAGACTTTTCTATGGGATGGAAAAGTGGTGGGGGGTGGGGGGTGGGGGGTGGGGGTGGGGGGAGAAGAGGAAGAGGAGAGGGCAGAGGGAAAAGGAAGGGAGTCAAGGAAAGAACACAACTACTCAGGCATCTGTCAGAAAGGGCCTATGTGATTTTTTTTTTTAAGGAATGAGTATGAAAAGAACCTCACTTAGCAATAAACATTATTAAAGAGCTGCGTGGAAGCCCAGTTTTTGTAAATCAAGTCATATTTGACTCTCCAGAGTATTTCTCTGTTTAAAAAGAAGCCAGGGGCGCCTCTCTCTCTCTCTCTCTCTCTCTCTCTGTCTCTCTGTCTCTCTCTCTCCCTCTCTCCCTCTCTCTCTCCCTCTCTCCCTCTCTC